GTAACCAGAACCCAGCGCTTGTGGTCAGCCTGCTTCCGGCTGTGGCTTCAGTTAGTCTGTCTGCTCTGACAGAGGAAGCAGTGACAGGAACTGCCCTGGTTGGACCAGGAGGTCCGTGCAGACAGGGCTGCATCACACTGGCATGTGAGATGCCAGCAGTGAGGAGAGGGAGGGGAGCAGAGACGCATGCCACCCACAGACCCTCTCCCAGCCCTGCAGCCACACGCACTGGCCCCAAGGTGAATCCCTGTGTAAACAGAGGGAGTTTGTTGAACGGCACTTTCCAAAAAGGCAGTAGAAGCCAGAACAGTGAGACGTGGGATTGTGCAAACATCCTGGACCTTGGGACACCGGCTGGCTGGAGAGCTGTGGGTGACAGGCCTCCCTGGAATGACGGAGCACACAAGCTCACCATGTTGAAAGTCTTAGCTAAAGAGGAAGTCCCTGGATTCGGGCTTTGTCTCTGCTCCTGTGGGAGGCACTAGGAGAGTCTAAACATTTTCATTGGGGGATTTGGATTCCCTGTACTCAGGTGGGTCAGGCCAGTGGAGTTTCTCCTCCTGAGCAGGAGGCAAAACCAGCTGGAAAGGGAGAGGACAGCTTGGCTAGAATCGCTAATTAATTTGGCTACTGTTTGATAATTTGAGATTTGACTCAACAGCCCGGGATATTTGTTTAATTAAAATGCTAGGGTTGTGGCTCAGAGGTAGAGCTCTTGCCTAGCACTTGGGAGGCCCCGAGTTCGATCTTCAGCACCACACAATAAAAGAAAGGTATTGTGTCCAACTACAACTAAAAAGATATAGATATCTATAAAAAATAGTGGCAACATCCGGGATCTACCCACTTCTGTGTGTGCTGTCCAGGGCGTACCATTCCCTGCAGTTTGAGTTTGTTTTGTGCAGACTGGGATATTGGAGGGGTCTCACCCACCCCAGCTTTTCATAAGGCGGCCTTGGAGAGGAGCCTGAAGCAGAGGGCTGGTAAATAACTAGACCAGGAAACTCCTTTCCTACCTTTGCATTGAAGGTATGCTGGGAAATGGAAGAGAGGGTTATCCCTCATATGTGGTTCCCAGCAAGCACAGCCTCCCTGTGAAGGGTTGGATTTTTGAAGTTTGATTCAGTTTCAAGGCATTTTTTGAATTGGATATAAAAATATGTTCAATCATCTGCCATCAAGTAAAATGGACACTCTAGAAAGATGTGTTTTTTCTGCGTGTGCTTATGTCTTCTTGGGCAGTGCCTTCATGCCCCAGGATTATAGGTATCCTACGGACAAAAGCACAAATCAAGTAAAAAAAATTWAAAAATCACAGGATCTGAGAGCCTCTGCTTCAACAATGAGGTGAGTGGCAGTCATCCTCATGCCAGGGTCCCCACCTCACCCCCAGAACACCTGTAGGCACTCAGGCCTTGGTGCCAGCYAGGTGGTTCAGCTAGGGAGCTCCTTCGACTCAGACGTTTTCAGGACAGAGACCCCGTCTTTCCCATCTGTACTTCCTCATGCTCTTAGGCCTGGGCTGGGCAAAGAAATTGTGCAAGTTCCCTAAACAGCTCTTAAATGGAGGAAGTCTGTGCACTTTGCACCAATTTGTTTAAACACCTTTCTAAAGTTCTTCCTGGGGCCAGGGAACCACATACACTGTGAAAGCAGGTAGGAATCTGCCACAGAACAATTCTCATTTTCATCTGTCATTGTCTGGTCACTTGTCATTAGAATAAGGAGGAGACGTTACTTCCTGAGCTTTCGCTGTGTGCAGAMTTGTGCACGGATCTTCCAGAGACTTTTGAAGATGTCATTCATGTGGACTCTGGAAATCTTCACTTTATATTTTTCTAGAGGGTTTGCTAASCAAATGCACCCAGGAGAGGTCGGATTCACTTGCACCTCCATGCTCASTCAGCTAAAGTCCTGGCTGTTCCCTGAAATGGCAGCCACAGGTGTCAGGCASAGTGACTGGACCTCTTCCTGCCCTCTCTGATGTGTTGAGGCTGCCTTCTTGTCTGTTCCTTTCTAGAGGGTCCAGGGTGCCAGACTGGCTTCCTACTGCTCTCTGCTGTATCCTCAGCATAGAGCAATGAGGGCTCCTGAAGCGCTTGTTGAGTTTGCCACAAGTATTTTTAARAAAATACTTTCCAGTGTTTATACTTCTTATTCGAATTCATATAACTATCAAATATCTGACCCCCACCTAAAAAAAAAATACTCAGTTGGAGCAGTCTATGATTTCTAAGCACTAGATAATTTTCAGAATCTGCTTTGAAAAATAGCCATTGGCTTCTTGCTGCCACCTACCCCTACCCTCCCCAACCCCTGACAAACTACTCTTTCAGAGCCTCGGATTTCCGCATCTTTATGTACAGTGGTGGGACTGGTGATCTCTTAAGTTCTCTCCTGGCAGTACATTTTGTCACATCCCAGTTGATGGCCTAACTATGGGCACCCCCCTTTGACAAGGCAAGTGAGACTTTTGTCTCCTCCTCTGGAATTAGTAGCATTCACTGGGGTGTCCAGGACCTCTGATGCCTGGGTTGGGCTCCTGGCTCCTTCAGGTGGGTGCTCCCCATCCCCACTCCACAACTGGCCCAGGGGGAGGGAGCTCTTCTGAGAAGGTAGCTCCATTCCTCCAAGTTGTACCAATATTGAATGTGGGCTGTTTCCTTGGTGGGAAAATGGGGCTATCAGATCTGAAGGGTGGACACTGGGGCAGTGAATCTAATTAGTGATGGCCACACCGGGGAAACTGATTACCAGTGGAGAAACACTAATGTTTGTAAGATGGTAGCTTAAAAAATGTTATTTTGTGAAATGATCTTTTGCCTGTTACTCTGTGGTGGGAAATGAACAGAGGGGTACGTGAAGGCACTTGTGAATGAAGCGCTTATCTCAAAGTCTGGGAAGGCAGAGATCATCTCTTTCCTCTCCTGCAGTCACTGCAGGCAACTCCAACGTGCTGTTTTCACATGTCTTATCAAGGGTGCACACAGGACACAGTGTTGCTCYATCCTTCCACAAACCAGGGCAGAGTGTTGTGTCTTCCCAAAGGTGGCCCCAGCCCTCATGRTGCAGGTGGGCTAGTGAGTTCCTGCCTGAGAGACTCTCCTGATGTCTTGAGTGAACACCCTAAAGTAGATGTGCTGCGCCTGTTGTGACATTTTCCAACTAGTTCTTATATGGTTTCTACCCTGTGAGGTTGCCTTAGGTCATGACACAGTTTAACCATTTCACTTGATTCATAATATTTAGATATGCCTCATGGATTTTACCTTTTTTKGGGGGGGAGGGRTACTKGGGATTTAACCCAGAAATGCTTAACCTCTGAGCCACATCTCCAGTCCTTTCTATTTTTTATTTTGAGACTGAGTCTTGCTAAGTTGAACAGGCTAACCTTGAGCGCCTCCTGCCTCAGCCTCCCTAGTTGCTGAGATCATAGACATGCACCACCACACCCAGTTGAAGCCTTCTGTGTATAACAGAGGTTGGCAAACTCTGTCCAGCAGACCGAACACAGTGGCACCATCCACTTATATATGGTCTGTGGTTGTATGGGGACTACAATACAGAGTAGTTGTAACAGAGACCATGTTGTCCACAAAGCCAGGAACATTGACTGTCAACATTCTCATTATATTAAAAAAAGTTCCTGACCCCTGGTGTACACAAAGCAGAGATAACATGTTCATTGTGCGTGTTTGGGGAGGTAGAAGCATGATTACTTCTGGAAAGTCTATTAAACTTAGCCTGCCAAGACCAAAATGGGCCAGGTGAGGAGGACACCAGATACATCTGGAATGAGTCAGCTTTCTTCCTCTGGCTGATTGAGCTGCTCTTTTGCTCATACCTGCCTCTCTGAATAGAGCCTAGGTATGAAGAAAGCTGTGAAGGAGAAGGCGTATATGGTGGGAGGAAGTGAGGCCAGAAGAGAGGAAACCCATCCTGCTAACCAGCAGTGAGAAACACTGTGCCCTCGGGGAAGGAGGCTGAACGGTCAGTCTGCCTCCTACAGTGGACAGCTCCCATTAAGCTTTTCAGCATGGGAAGAACAGGAAACCAGTAGGGTGGTGTCCATAAGCTCTGAAACTGGGAAAATGATTGGGGAGCCCCCCAGGCCTTGTTTTCAGCCTCTTCAACGATCCCCTTACCAGGCACATTATATTGCACTATTCTGTTGAAATGCCAGAACCCGTGGGCTCTTAAAATATGCAGCCTAGCATGTGAGAGACCCTGGGTTYAATCCTCAGTACTACGTAAATAAATAAAATTTTAAAAGTTTTAAGAATATGCAGCATAGTATGAGCTACCTAGAGTAGGCAAGTTCAGATTATAAAATGGAGGCTGCCATCAGTGGTTTGGGATTTCAGTTGGGAAGATTGAAAAATGTTCTGGTTTCCAGGTACGGTGGTGCATATCTGCAACCCCAGCAATTCCAGAGGCTGAAGCAGGAGGATGGCAAGGTGGAGGCCAGCCTCACCAATTTAGCAACACCCTGCTTCAAAATAAAAAGGACTAGATTATAACTCAGTGGTAGAGCACTCCTGGTTCAATCCCTGGTACCACAAAAAAAGAAAAAAAAATGTTGTGGTGATACTTGCACAGTGGTGTGAATGTACTTCATACCACTTCGAAATTTCAAAAATGGCTAAAGTGTGCTGTGCACATTTTACYACAATTTAAAACAGAACTCATCACCAGCCCTATCCTGTGAAAAGACCAGAGCCCCCGCAGCAGTATTCAGAGTTGCAGATGAGGACTCTAATTTGGAAACCTTCCCCCCTCCCCAGTTAAATGTTAAAAMAACTTCCTTTTCTAAGAATTAAGAGGTCCATTATGTTCTCTTTAAAAGATCATTACTGAATAGTTAAAAAGCATAATACCACATTTGTTTCACAAGGGACAGATCACATAGAGACGCCCCGTAGTCCAAACGGCATGGTATGGCGGCCTTTCTGACCCTCTACTAACTCCCACTCTTTCTTTTTCCTTCATGTGGATTATAGGAAAGAAACCTTGACTGGTTCCCCAGGATGAGAGCCATGTCCTTGGTCAGCAGCGATTCCGAAGGAGAACAGAATGAGCTGAGGAACCTGCAGGAGAAGCTGGAATCCACCATGAAGCTTGTCACTAATCTCTCTGGACAGCTGTCAGAATTAAAGGACCAGGTAAAGGAGGGAAACCCCGACTTCCCAACACACACATGCCCCTGAAATGGGACTGCAGGGACAGTGCTGCAGTCGTCATGTTACCATGTTAAAAGTACTTAGCCTGAAAGGCAGGGGACTGGGCAGGAGAGGACAGACCCGGCACCAATCAAAAGATAAGGCCATACTGCTTTCAGTGCTGCTAAGGACATGGTTTTAATATGAAAAAAAAAAAAAAGTCAAAATGCAAACTACTTTACCCAAGTACTGGACAAGAAAAAAAAAATGCCTAATTCTCTTTGCGGAGACATAGAATGAAAAGCTCTTTCTTGTTTGGCTACTTAGCCCTCAGATTTCTCAAATCTTCATCGAAGAGATGTAAATTCGGCATCCTGGGATAAACTATAGTCATGGAAAAGCCTGTTTTGGTTCATTCGTTTGCYAAATGCTTATGAAGTGGCTGCCAGGTGCGTGATAGAAAGTGACAGAGACATAATCTCAGGTCTCCCAGAGGGTGGGAGTCCACACTGCCCTTCCTGCTCCTATGATAAATGCTTTACCTTTTAAGGTAAGGGGAGCAGATTTAAACCAAACCCTGTATAACCCCTTAAATTGAACACTCTGTCACCAGGTGATTACCTAGTTATAGGATGGCCTGTGCCCTGCTCCTTAGCAGACTGATCTTGCATTTCTGTAGCTGACAGGGATAATCATGTACAGACAGGTACAGTTCAGCATTTTGTTTAAGTTTCTGAAAGCTTTCTCTGTAGACTAGATGAATTTGGTCCAGGCAACTTGGCCCCGGAGGTAAGTTGCAGGATGCACCCCCAGGTGATTGAGTACATAACTGGCGAAKGCTTCATCTACCACCAACTCTTCGAGATAGTGCACAGAGCCTAATTAATAATCCTGCTTTAAGTTTATTCCTTTTGAAACTAAATTATTCCCAACTAAGCCCCCCAAATGCCAGCTGGCCTCAAGTTCTTTTTTTTCATATGTATTCAGATATAAATTTTAAAAAGACGAATAAAGAAAGCAGACCTTATTGATGAAGGCTGCCTACATCCCTGAGCTTGGTGGCATCCTAAAATGAGTAATACCTGAAGACTAATCAAGATCTAACTAGATTACTTTGTTTATTAACTGTTCGCCCTGCTGTGCAACATTTSACAAATCTTGGCAAGACTGAACTGACATGTGATGCTGCAGCTGCCTCTGTCCTTGCCAGTCCCCAGGGCAATTTCTTAAAGACCCTCCCAAGCTCGAGTTCTCATCCTTTCCCTCTGGAGATAGTTGTGGCTTCAAGAAATTCAATTTTATCAGATGTTTTAAATTAGGTTCCCAAAGAAGCTCACACTGATCTAGGACAGACCAATGAAGGAACTGGCTCACCAGAAAGTCTGGTGACACGCATCATCTGTGCTAAATGCGTGTAGCACCAGAACTACAGCTATAGGGATATCCTGGCTCCTAAGTCCGACGGCAGCCCAGGTTTGTTCTTGCTCATTCATGACTAATTCTCATTGTCACACCTGGATGCTCTTCAAGGGCTCATATCTTAATATGAGGAACTAGATGTTTCCAGTTTACTAGAGAGTCTCTTAAAATTTATCATACAAAACTGCTATATTTTGGGGTTTGCTGTGGTAAAACCAAGCAAGCCCTTCCCTCCAGCCTCTCCCAGTCCTTTGGGTGATGAGAAGCTGCTGCACCGAGGACGACTCGGGAGACGCTTCTGTGCCTGCTTTGCACACCAGTGAGCATGTTGCAAGAGTTGAGCCAAGTCATTTCACCCCAGGAACACAGGAGGCTCTTAGGAAACTTMTGCAACTTTAGGGGACACTGCCAGGGTGGGAGCTCCTGACCCCCCAGCGTGGGCTTGTTTTTGTGTTGTGTATGTGTTTGTTTTGTTGCTGTACTCCATTTTCTTGTTCACTGTTTAAATTTAATTTTTTTTTAAAGAGGCGTAATGTTTCACAAGTTGCATCCTGCCCATTGGTGGAATGGGGSTTGCATTTATTTTACACCCCTGAAACGGGTAGAGACTTGGCATTTTTTAAATACAACGTAGAATCATTCCTATTAAACTTAAGATTTGACTAAATATAGATGTTAGAACTAGAATGGTCTTATACTGCTTAATCCCAGTGCTTTTTCAATTTTTGGTTTTAAAGTTGAAAGCACGCCCCTCCCTGAGAAAGATCGAGATTGAACTATTTTTTTCTTAGAAGATAGCAAAAGCTACAAAGAAACATGAAGAATCAGTAACACATTCTTCAGCACTTTTCACAGGATTGCTCTGCTTAAGTTCTAAGGTGCCCAGAATTGCAGAAAAATTCAGCATAGCTTCTGCAGGGAGGGCACTTGCTTCCTTCAAAATGAACCAGTCAGTGTTTTCTTTCAATTATATGATTTCTAACAAACCTTTAGTGCATTTGCATGTTGAATAGATTTGAATTTTAATGTTGTTATAACAATCAAAATTTCTTAAACCATTTTGCATTTAAAAAGAAATCACACAGATATGTTGGAGAGCTCCTGGATCTGAAATAATTGTGAGAATTCTTGCCCTCAAAAGGGAAAATTTTAGAATTAAGCCCCAGGAATGATTAACGAACAAGAAACTCTAATAGATATTTTCTAAAACAACCATKAAAGAACACCATTCACTGAGAAAAATGTGGGAAAACAGAAGCTGCTTCATCACTTAGATATTTTGTAGATCTTCTGAGCCCAAAACCAGCGTAATGGGACAAGGGTGGTTTCAATGTGGCTGGCTCTGGTTTTAATCCTTACTGTCCCTGACCTCTTTGGTGGTGGTTGTCTTAAATGACCAACTGGGGGAGGAACTGCTCCTATAGAATATTAGTCCACAGGTGGTTGGTCCTTTTTCTGTTATGCTAAGTAAGTATTAATGATGCATCTCATCTTCAAGTTTCCCCTCCCAAGAGATTCTGAATACTAAATGTGATTCTCTTACATCCTTATTCCAAGGAGGAGAACTAATGTAAGACCTTAATATTTCTTTTTTGCATGTTTCCTTCATAATGCAAAAGAGCCTATATTGAGCAAAGGGTTAACTTTCTAGAAAATGCGTCTGGCTTCCCATAGGACAGTCACCCATCRTTGCTAGGAATATAAGAAGTGCTTGGAAATCTGGATCATGTTAGCATGTTACAGCATTTGGCATTTTTCATGCAAAAAGGTTATCTTACCAACATTAACTGCTTAAGGAATAATAATTTTTTTAAAAAAGATTAGAGAATATGGTCCCAAGTTGTGGAATGGAGGATTGAACAGACCTTACTGAATGCATTCATGTTCCTTATATTATGCTGGGATCATAAAAGAGGACTAAAACAACGTCTGCCCTCTCGGGTCCCATAATTAGCGAGCGAGATGGAGAAGTAGATGTCTCAGAGTATTGTGTGGTGTGAGAAGCAGGTCCCTGGTCCACAGTGAGGCTGAAAGGGAAGAGTTCAGCTTCCACAGCCTTAAGCAGGTGGCTTCTGAGCTGGCAGAGAAACGCAGTAAGGGGCTTCCCAGGAAAAGAACTGGCATGAGCAAAAGCATGACAATGCATGGCATGCTCAGGAATGGCAGAATGTTCTGGTTAATCCACATCACTTCCTCAACCAACATTGCAAACCACAGAGTGATCAGGTACAGGGACACAAAGATGAGAGGTCTAGCCTCTGCCTTCCAGAGCCAACAGTCTAAATTGGGAGACAAGGAAGTTCAGCATGAATTATGCTTAAACCTAAGCAGTGTACACCAGAGGTCTGCACAGATCGCTCTGGGAATGAGGCAACAGGGAGATGCCTACGACCTAGCCCAGGGTAGGGAGAGGAGCAGACAGTGCTAGGCAGCCACTCCCAGATTCTGAACGCCATCATCCACACAGTTCTATTGAATCAATATTTGTATTCAAGAAACGCTTCAGTTCACTGTCTCAGTTTTTCAGGCACATCATTTCTGAGCATAATTTTTCAGGACTGTAAAAAGCAACTCTGACAATATCTCCTGTTTAGAATGATTGAAATAAGGACCCTATTGTAACTTGAAAGCAGCTCTTCAAACACTCTAAAGATCTGTTACAGAGCCAGGCATGGTGGTGCACACTTGTAACCCCAGCAACTCAGGAGGATTGAAAGTTCAAAGCCAGTCTCAGCAACTTAGTGAGGCTTACACAACTCACAAAGACCCTGTCTCTAAAAAAAAATATATATATATATATATATATAAAAGGACTGGGGATGTGGCTCAGTGGTTAAGCACCCTGGCTCAATCCCCAGTACAAAAAAAAAAGTTATAAAGCAGACTGGTGTTTTAGTGTCATGGGCGAACCTTCCTCCTGTGCCAGCCTTTGCTACCAAGAGGCTGTGCTCATTTGTGCCCTCAACCTATGTGTGCTTGCATCTGACTTGTACAGCTACAGTATTCTTTGCTTCTGGTTTAGACTGGAATGAAAAGGGGGAATAAAGAATTCTAATCTAGTTTATATATTTGTATAGATACTAAGGTTAGCATTGCTTCCACTGCGCATTCTCAACTACGTGGGAACTCTGATGAGTGTACCTGTATTATAAGTGGGACTTTTCTAAATATGTTTTGATGTTAAAATCTCAACTGTGGTTACTTTAGATGTGAATGTTAATGGATAGCTTTGTTTCAGATGTCCAGAGAGAGAACCCTGTGACGTTAGGCAGAGGATCAACTATTTGCTCTGATATAGGTAACAGATCAGAATGCTGTTATAGTAAGATCTATAGATACATATAGCATGTGTGTGAATAGGCAGAATTGAGAAAATAACAGCCAGAAGCTATGTGAACCGTGAAGGACTGGGCTGGGCAAACCTGGATGGTCAGCAGTGTTGGCCCACTTCCTTCTATCACTTAAGATGGCATTTAAGTCAATGCTATTGTCACTTATCTAAAAAGMTAATGAGATGGATCAAAACAGGATTAGACATTGTGTGTGCCTGCTGTATACACTAGCTATCAAGAATTTCCTCCCATGCCACCTTTTAGATGAGAAAAAGACTATATATACCACCAAATACTGGACTCTTTCAACTTATTCAAGTATAGGAAAATGTACCCAAAGTGATTGTGGCTGATTTTGAAAATTATTAATGAAAAGCTGTTCTAGAACAATGGTTCTCAGAACATATTCCAGGCCAGTGGCGTCTTTGTCCCTTGGGAATTTGTTAGAAATGCAAATTCATGGGCCCCACCTTAGACCTACTACATCCGACTCTGCACGCCCTTTGATCTATGTTCTAACAAAGCCTCTGGGATTGCTCTTGAACTTCAGTATGAGCCACAGTTTTCTTTTTTAGGGCAACACAACAATCTTGGATAGATATGTATGTGGTATTTGTAATGACCCGTTAGAATTACCTAAGAATTGGCCACTAACCTCTATCAGTGGGGAGCATTARGGGTTGGCAGATGTGATGACTTGGGCAAACCTAGAAAGCTTGAGCAGGACCTCAGGCCAGCAACTTAAGACTCCATAGTGTTTTAGAGGCTGTAAATTTAAGAGAAAGAATGACCAAGTAATTGAGGAGTCAAGGAGCACCGATTTAACAACCGGGAGGTAAATATGTATACATAAAAGAAAGGTTATCTCTAGTACCAATAATTATGGAAAGAAAAATGACAGAAGAAGTTTTAATACCCAGCTTTGAATTAAAAGAGCTCAGCAGCTTTAAATAGAAATTTCAGAAAAGTATTTTTCGTAGGGGATGAGCCTATCAGGCTTACTAAATCCATCTGAATGCTTGGGATTATCCACTTAAGGGTTATTGGATTCCCTCTCAGGATTACCTGTCTAGGGCATAGTTGGCAGGGAGGGACTCCGAGCTAAATGTCTGAGGGATCAGGCAGTGAAAGGATTGAATGGCTGGTGTTTGAATTCAATAGGGAATAGTATTCCTTGTGCACGCAAAGCTGTCCTTAACCTGGCAGAACCAGTGAATGTAGTATAGTGGGTGACACTTCTCTTCAAGAGTTGTCACTCACCCAAGGAAACTTTAGAGGCATCTGAAACATCCTCATTCAGTACCCGACAAAAAGCTTCCTTTTGGAAAAGTCTATTATAATTTAGATAAGATTTACCAGGAGAGAAAGCATTTCCACAGGAGCCTAAAAATAATTACTTGAGAGGATAACTGATGTTCTAAAAAAGAAAAAGAAAATAACCATTTCACACTGAAGCTAGAATATTTTGTACCAAAAATCAGTTCAACTAAAAACTAAGATTTAAGCCAGGCATGGTGGCCATGCCTGTAATTCCATTGACTTGGGAGGCCGAGGCAGGAGGATCCCAAATTCCAGGCCATTTGTAGCAACTTACCAAGACCCTGTCTCCAAATAAAACAAAAAGGGCTGGAGATGTAGCTCAGTGGCAAGGCACACCTGGGTTCAACCCCTAAGACTGGAAAAATGACAAAGACCGACTTATTTTTGAGACAGGGTCTCACTAAGTTGCTTATGACCTCACTCAGGTTTTGTGGCTGGCCTCCAACTTGCAATCTTCCTGCCTCAGCCTTCCAAGTAGCTGAGGTTACAGGTGGGCACCACACACCTCACTTATCCTAGGTTATCTGCCTCCATCTTCCTATGAGATAGAAATGACCTGGAAATGTGGAAAAAAAAAAAAAAAAAAACAGTTCTGGTTCCAAAGCCCCTATGCTCTTTTTACTCCTGTCCAGTTTTAGGAAACCAGAAAGCTTGGAGTAGAACCTTAAGCCACTTGCATACAACAATTTAAAAAAAAAAAAAGGCTCTAGGAAATACATATTAAAGACAGAATTTTTTTAATATTTATTTTTTAGTTTTCGGCGGACACAACATCTTTAWTTGTATGTGGTGCTAAGGATCGAACCCAGCGCTGCGCACATGCCAGGCGAGCGCGCTACCGCTTGAGCCACATCCCCAGCCCTCCTAGAGCCTTTTAAATCTATAGTCTCAAAACCAGAGCTAGCACCAACYGGGTCAAGGAAAAAGATCAGAATGCAGAAGATTAAGTATACCCTATCTATTCCCGAGACTGTGCCCCATCCTCAGGAGCACTTCAGAGTGGAACCCTCCCTTTTTGCTTTGGGTTGCGCAAGCCTTTTTTCATTGGAGCCTGGCTTAGGAAGTGGTCTCTCCTGGCCTTCAGTTACACTCAGCAGCTGTTGGTGGCCAGGGCCTTTTGGACAGTATTTGGTTATTCTGGATCTCAGGGAGCTGTGAGGACATTTCTCATCTTCCCAGATGACTGTCACTTTTTTTTTTTACCCCCTCTAACCAACCTCACAAGCATCACTGGGGAGAGGAACCCAGCGAAGAGCGTGGACTTATTCTCTCTCAACCCTGGGATTCTGACCTTGCTGCTTTTCTGGGTCGTATGGCGTGTTGTCACTGTCGTACAGAGCCACCATTTTCCAAAGAGTCCTTCAGTCATTTGGAAATGGGTTTGGGAAACAATCAAGAATCCTATGCTTTTCCCTTGTTGTGAAACAAGGAGCAAGCTGTACCTGTGACTGTAACCATTGCATGACGAGGTCACAGAATTCCCCACTCTGCCTCGGAAGATTCCCTTTTTGAAGCTGTGTGTGTTTGATACGGTGACAGTACACTATTTGTAGAAAGTGGGTTTCAGTACAAACCGTAACCACAGAGGTAAATCTATGGTTCAGAATATGATTTGACGTACAGGAAGTGTCTGGGTCTAATGATGAAACTTTTTAACTTTCCAGATGACAGAACAAAGGAAGCAGAAACAAAGAATTGGTCTTCTAGGACATCCGCCTCACATGAATGTCAACCCACAGCAACCAGCATAAGCAAATGAGAGAGGAACTATATTGACCTTTTTTAATTATTATTAGCGTGGGTATGGCTAATTAGTTCTGATTCACCCACTAAGTGACATTTATGCTTAGTATATTTGTAAATAACTCAGTTTTATACTGTATGTATATGATTGCTACTCTAAAGGTTTGGATATATATGTATTGTAATTAGATTTGTTGAACGGCATGATGACATTTCATTTGTGCCAAAAATATTAAAAATGCCTTTTTTGGAAGGACTAAAGAAAGCACCTGATTTGCACTTGAACCAGATTATAGATTTAAAAGCATATGACATGTATTTTTTATTTAAAACTAGAATAGCCAGTATTTATGTTTTTTATAAAACTGTGCAATATGAATTACGCAATCACAATAAGTCTGTAACTCCCCAGTGTCCTACAGGGAGTGCACATCTTTGAAGCTGGTGTGTTAATACTATGTAATAAATGGTTAAATATCAAATGATGCTGCTGCCAAAATTATATTACTAGTGAGTTTCAGGCCCCTGGGCATTTTGTACCATGTAATTATCCTACGGTGAAGCTGTTTGTCATAGCTAGTGGCATCCGTGCCTGACAACGCTCCATGTCTATCAGCTGTTCAGCGGGCGTTCATTTTAAGAAACGCAACTTTAGTTTCAAGAATACTTTAAGCTTCTAAATTGATCACTTATTAAACTCTTTCTTTAAATCAGAGGCCACAGTAGATGCTCACTACTGTAGCTTGTGAGGAATGATGTTTTTAAAGGGAACTTTTTACACAACGTTGGGAATCATCGTCATCTCCTGGGTGAGTTTGGATGTCACGGGATAGAGAAAYGAGGACTGGATGGTTTCTAGAGTATTAGTCCAAACGGTTTTTCCTTCATCCAAACCAACATGCCCTTGTAGCTAAAATAATTAAAAGTATATACAGCCACATGAAGGTGAAATGGGAACTAGCCCCTTAGAACCCAGAGTTGAACACTTGACATGTTATTCTTCTGGAAGAGCCACGTTGTGATTTTCTTTCTGTGTCACATGATTTCTTTTTGGGATGGATGGAAAGTATGAAAGGAAACTTTTATACCTGTTGCCTAGTTTTGTACATGGGTCTCATTTTACTAAAGAATCTCTCTGCAAAAATGTTTTAAAAAATGTATTGAAAGCAGAGTTCTGAAATGAGTCAAGTTTGTAAATGCATATATGAAAGTATTTAATAAATGATGCAGAATCATATGAAGTAACTGGTGGCTTTCATTGGGCGTTTCTTTGTGARTTACTTTCTTTAGGACCAACTTCAACCCCAGCTGGTTTGGTTATCAAAATGATTCAAAAATGCTGAGCTGGATGTTTAAAAAAATGACAGTAACTGAGAACCACTGGAACAAGTATTGGGGAGTATCTGATACACTATTCCTTTTTTCATCTAGAATGCTGACTGCCAGTCTGACTGTCATGGGTACCCTGATACTCTTGACAAATCAGGCATGTTCTGTCTCAGAGGCTTTTCCCATGTTTTTTTTTTTTTTTTTGCATTTTAAAAAATTCTTTATAATATTGGGATACATTTGTCATGATCACAAAAGCATGGAATATAATTTGCTCTAAGGCTGTCCCAAGCACTGCCCTCCCCCCCACACACTGATCTTTCTRTAATTTATTCATAGTTTTTTTTATTACTATCCTGTGGGTGTACTTGGTATTGAACATCACTGTGGAATACCCACACACGMACATGCAAAGGTTCAGTCAGACACATTCCACTGTTCTTCCCTCTCCGGATCCCTCCTTCCTCMCCCTCAATCCCCTTTGTCTACTTCTCTCTCTCCTTTCTTGGAACTGGGGCTTGAATCCAGGACTTCTTGCGTGCGAGGCAAGCCCTTTCCTCTATTTTAATGAGATTCCCTTTTCACCCTTTTCTCTCTCCTTTCTCTCCCTTCACCCGTAGTTTGGACTTTTGCTGGGGATCTTTCTCTTTGTACCTACCAGGTGTAAGCATCACTAACAGCTGGTTTCGGGCCACCTGGTCAGGGTCCGTCCTCCAGTAGAGAGTCTAAAATGTTTTTTTGTTGTTGTTGTTTTGGATGTGAGAGTTGGCTTTGGGGGAAAACAAATGTAGAAAAACTGTTCCTCCTCAAGGCAGTGCTCACGCTGGCTGCTGTTTTTGACACCGATTTTTGCTATACTTTGATAAGTATGAATAATTCCCACCCAACGCTGGGAACTGGATCTGGATGAAGTTACAGCTAAACAATGACTTTTTATAACCAGTGCTTCTCCTTTATAAATTCGATACAAAATGAATGATTTCTCAGTACAGTCTAACTCTACCAAATTTTTCCATCATAAGACCAGCCCAAAGTAGACGCCTGCTTTTATCTGAACCCAGAACGGCTTCAGTGCTCAACCCCACGACAGGCACCTGAGCCAGCAAGGACTTGCTCTCCCCAGGGCTTTCTCTTTGATGTCTCCCGCTGCCCGACACAATGTGGCAGCATGTGTGGTTTGTCTCCCAAGCCCCTGCCAGTTCTCTGGAAAGTTCTGCAGTGACATGTCGAGGTAGCAGCTTTTACAGGTTTGTCATGTTTAATTTGAATCCTGTCACTGAAGATACAAATCTTCATTTTGTTTGCCAGCTTCAGCAGAAAAATCACTGAAATTGGAATGTCACCCCACCCTGCATGCAGCAAGTCCTGCCCTTGGAGTCAGGGGGTCACCACTGGAGTGACTGCCCCCAAAATGGGTCTGAAGGTCAAGGCTGTGGCCCTGCTATGCAAATGCCACTCTGCCCATCTTCTCCCTCACCACCTTCCCAACACCTCTCTTGGCTTTCCTAGCCTTTAGAGTCACCTGTCCAGACAGGAGTGTCTTCAGACCCAGCATCAAATATGGGGTACAGGACTAACATGCAGGAAAGCCATTTTGCTTCCCTCTATTTGATTTTAAAAGTTTGCCTAGCCAGGTATGGTGGCACACACCAGTAATCCCAGCAACTTGGGAGGCTCAGGAAGGAGTATCACAAGTTCAAGGCCAGCCTCAGCAACTTACTGCAGCCCTAAGCAACTTAGTGAGACCTCATCTCAAAAATAATAAAGGGATGGRSATGTGGCTCCGTGGTCAAGTGCCCCTGGAGTCAATTTGCAGTACCTAAAACAAAAGTCTGCTGCCACACACCAGCTCACGTTTTAAACATTGTCAGATTTCCTTCTCTAATACCACTGGCTAAAGAGCAGGTCTTAGAAATTCCATTCCATTTAACATGTATGGTGTCTTACCCTTTTCTACTTCTGTTCCTGAAATTGTACAGTTATAAACCTGTTTCCCTCTATAAGGAAAGCTGCCATTCTGGCTATGGTCCTAAATGATATCCCCTCCTGTATGATTTTTCTTAGCTCTATTTTTTCTTAGTTCTATCTTTACTCCTCTCAAACATGCTTGCTTTTGTTTGTTTGTTTGTTTTGTTTTCCTTCCAAGTCCATGTTCTTTATTCATTATTCTTCATTTGACATTTTTAAAATTTGGTTGTACTTTCTGAAAATGGACTATTTGATTTTGCTCCARTAAAACCCACACTTTCACTCTGTTTAAATTACTAGTTCCTATCAAATAATAAAGSAAGCTGACTTTATTTGCAAAAGCTGATCAGCAACTCAGTCTTTGCAGCAGCTAACCAAACAAAGCTTTACTTATAAGCTAATGGAAAACTATCAAGATCTTTTCAATAAGTAATTAACCTGTTTCAAAAAATTCAATTCTTGATTTCTGAATCCTTTCCTGTAGATACTTTGGATAAAGCATTAATAGGAAATAGCCTAAAAGTTTCTGATAGTTATTTCAAGTCTAATCAGAAGATCATTAATTAGGAAAATGTATTCCTCTAAAAATATTAGGAGCAGTCCAGGCACAGTGGTGCACACCTGTAATCCCAGTGGCTCAGGAGGCTGAGGCAGGAGGATCACAAGTTTGAGGCCACCCTGGGCAACTTAGCAAGACCCTGTCTCAGAATATAATAAAAAGGCTATTATTCAATAGTAAAGAACCCCCRAGTTCCATCCTCAAAACCAATATAGAACATAACAACATAGAAAGAAGTTGGATTTTTGCCAAAATGATGTTTTTACAGATTAGGAAAGAAAAAAATTGTGTTTATTAGAAAACTTTATAATAGAACTCACCTTACATAAGAAAGCATATAAAGATAGACCCTTATTGGAGGCTTTTGAGAAAATATGATTAAGCCATATGACACAAATGAAACTTTTTTTTCTTTTTTGGGGGGGGGCTGGGAATTTAACCCTGAGGTGCTTTACTACTATGCCACAAACCCATCCTTTTTTATTATTTTTGAGACAGATTCTCACTAAGTTGCTTAAGATCTTGCTTAGTTGGTAAGGCTGGCCTTGAACTTGAGATCCTCCTGCTTTAGCCTCCTGAGATGTGTTCCACTGCACCCAGCAGGAATGAAACTTGTTTTAAAGATAAGAAATTGAGCCCCAAATAGGTAACTTGCCCAGAGACTTGGCTCCAAAACAAACAGGATATCCTGGCTTAGACAAATACATAGCTCTTCCGATTGCTGTCTTCCTTCCAGAACAGAGCTCTACTATTTTATCAGTCACTACTTTCCAGAACAGTTCTCCCTGATTCCTACATGAGGGACAACACAAATTGACTCACATTTCTTTTCAAATGTCTCTCATAAGAGAATCTACAAATTAGAAAGTATTGACTAGGAATCCCTTATGAAGACTGAAAACTCTGTGGCAGAGATAAGAACCAGGTGATCTTCTAACACTTCTGACAACTATACATTGCATATGTAAATACCTCATAGTTAGCTGCATTTTTCCAAAGGAGAATCATTCTCCACCCAATCAGGATGGCTGCCTCTAAGCAAAAAGTTTCCRGTCTGCTAGTATTCTGTCCAATGCAGAAGTTGGTATCTATTAGCAAACTCTTTGCTCTTCTTCTTTACACTGATAACTTGCTAAAATCAACTAGAATGTTGGAAAACCCCCATCAAGATTTCGATTTTACAGAAAGTACCCAAAATTCCACCAGTTTTGCATCACAAAGTAGTGGTTTCAGTCAAGTTTAGAGTAAAACACCATGTGTGTGGTTTTTGTGGGTGGTTGCAACTCAAAATGACTTAGGCTTCATCAATTATCTGACAAGAGAGAGCAATGATGGCAATTATAATTAGGAGAATTATGATCCTAACAAATTCTTTTTCCACCTTGAGCCATATTGACCAACTCTCATAACCTAAAGGCCAACTCAGAAGTGTCACTAGCCTCCAGGTCTGGACCTAAAAACTTAACAACAGAAAGAAAATTAAAAGGTAGACCACTGTCAGGTGTTTCACATTTATTTGATCAGCTCAGACAATGCCTATGGACTCTCCCCATGGTGGCATTTTAAACTCATTTGGTACAACAAATCTCTAGCCTACTGGAGAGCCACTTGAAAGAAAAAAAAAATACCAAGGGAGAAACTAACAATTCTTTAAGTTCATGACAAACTAGTGTGAAAGAGAATCCTCACACCTAGAAGTGAAACTTCCTCATCCACCCAGCCTGGAAAGAAAAAGAAAGCTAAAAACCACTATAGAATAAGATTTCAGAGTTTGAGAAAACCCCTAAGGTGGGTTCTGAACAATAACACAAAGAGTCCCACAACATCAGTGCTCACTGCATGCAAGAACCGCAAATGGAAAGAGTTTGCCAGCATTTTTTGTAATTGACCTCACCAAAAAAAGAAAATTACACACACACACACACACACACACACACACACACACACACACACACATATTTATAGTTGGTCCCATGTATATGAAACTTAAGAAAATTCAGGATTTTAATCTGTTCACTCCTCAGCATATGCAAGACATTTATTTCTTTTTTCACAAATGTATCACCAACAGCATCTCAGAAAAGCTGGGCATTCTCTGTCAAAGATCTCTAGAAGAAAGCTTTACATTTGGTTTGACATTGGAGGCCTGAGCCACCCAGGGTTTAGGAGCTGAGTGCACCAGAGCCCAGGGGCAGCACAGTGGGGTGGAAAGAACATAGACCTTGAACTTGAGAAGCCTTAATAGCTCAACCACTTCCACGTTATGACCTTGAGCAAATTATTTAATCATTTCCATTTTCAATTCCCCCCTTCCAAAGAGTAAAGAATACTTGAATTTGGTTCTTTGGACATGATGAACATTAAGACAATACATGCCAA